AATCACTTGGTTTATTTCAAGGGCAATCTGAATTTGTAATGTCGGTAGCCCCTGGGAAGGCTACATTTATGCAGGGGGCTGCTGTAACTAACCTCATGCCAGTGCAGAGCATCATAGCCTGGATCAGGCTGGTGTCCCTTCCAGTCCAGCACCCTGTTCTCATAGCGTCCACCCAGATGCCCCAAGCAGGACCTGAGCACAAGACCACTCTGCCTCCCCTGTGCCAGTAGGCAGAAGCATTACAGCTTCTGACCATTGAGGCAGAACATAGCCATTGTGACTAGTAGCCATTTATAGACATCCTCTAGGATAAGTGGGTAAGTAGGATAAGTAGGATAATGTGGGTGGCGCTGTGGTCTAAACCAGTGTTTCCCAACCACTGTTCCGCGGCACACTAGTGTGCCGCGAGATGTTGCCTGGTGTGCCGCGAGAAAAATTAAAAAATTGAAAGATTTTTTTTTTTAAAGTCAAATTTTCGATTGGGGCGCCGTCACTAGATGACCCCTGGGGTTCCCTCCCTCCCTCCCGCTCTGCGCCTCCCTCCTCCTCCTCCTCCTCTGGGGAGGCCCTTCCTGGCTCTCGGCCAAGGCTTGGCGGCTGCCACTCACTCACTCGCTCGCCCACCCGTCCCTCCATCCCTGCACCCGGCCTCTCCCCCTCCATCCCCGGCGCGGGGGCTGCCAGGATCCGTAGTCCCCTCGCCCTTGGGCTCCGCGCCCGCGCGGGGTGCGCAAACTACGTTTCCCAGCGTGGCCTGGCGGGCCGGGCGTTTTGTTTGAAGCGCTCTTCTCCCGGCCATGGAATGAGCGCAGCGGCGGCGGCCGGGTGGGCAGGGGCTCTTCCGCGCAGACCCCGCGCAGCCTGCCTGTGCCCCCCGGAGATCGGGCGGCAGGATGGAGCCCGGGGATCCCCGCGGAGGAGGAGCGGCAGAGGCGGAGGCTGCCCCCCAGGTAGGGCTGCGTCGGGGGTTTTTTATTTTTTCAATGCTGCATCCGCGCCGGAGGGGACGCATCGGACCGCGGGGAGACCCCTTGGCGGGCGTGCAAGGCAATGCATGCGTGCAGGCGTTGCATGGAGTGCAGTGCAATGCAATGGCAACGCGGCGCCCTGCATGCATGCATGCAACTTCCACCGGCGCTCCGGACTTGGCAGGTGAGGGGGGTCCCCAGTGGGCGGCAGAGAGAGCCGGGAGGGCGAAGGGGAGCCGGGGGGGAGCAGCGCTGCTCCCTGAGCCGAGCCCGGGGGGAAACTTCGGCGTCGTTGCGCCGGGTGTTGGAAGTGGAGGCTGGCGGGGGCCCCTCACCTGCAAAACCTGGTTGCCTCTCATATATTTCGTGCATTGCATTCATCGCCCGCTTTCTCCTCCAAGGAGCTCCCGGGGGCGCGCGTGGTTCTCCCCGTGTTATCCTTGCAACAACAGCCCTGCGAGGTGGGTCAGGCGAGTGGCCCAAGGGAGCACCCAGGGATTGTCCTGGCCAGGTGGGGTGATTTGAACCCTGCTCTCTGCCCGGTCTTCGTCCTCATTTAGCCCCCACATGTGCATGACTGTGCATGACTGAGGTTTTCCCCCCTCGTCTTGGCTATGGTGTGAGTCTGTGCTGTTAATTAATGGGGTTCTGCCTTCGGAGAAGATGAGCCAGCCCTCAAGGAGGTGATTATGTAATTTGCTAGCAATTCATGTCCCTCCCGGCGTGACGCTGCGCGCTGACGTCACGGGGCTGTAATGGTGGTGTGCCTCGAGATTTTTTTCATGAAACAAGTGTGCCTTTGCCCAAAAAAGGTTGGGAAACACTGGTCTAAACCACTCAGCCTCTTGGGCTTTCCTATCAGAAGGTTGGTGGTTTGAATCCCCACAACAGGGTGAGCTCCCATTGCTCTGTCCCAGCTCCTGCCTACCTAGCAGTTTGAAAGCACACCAGCGTGAGTAGATAAATAGGTATGGTTGCGGCGGGGAGGTAAATGACCTTTCCGTGTACTCTGGCTTCCATCACGGTGTCCTGTTGCTCCAGAAGCAGTTTAGCCATGCTGGCCACATGACCCGGAAAGCTATCTGTGGACAAATGCCGACTCCTTCGGCCTTAAGATGAGCGTCACAACTCCATAGTTGCCTTTGATTGGACTTAACCGTCCAGAGGTCCTTTACCTTTACCTTACCTCTAAGTACAGTACAAGGAGGAGGCCTCTTTCTCTCAATTTCCTACCCTTTACACCACCACCAAAACATTGAATCAGAAAGTAAAGTGGTGGGAGGCTGGAGAATCAGTGGGTGTCACAAAGAGGACAGCATAGCCAGGAGGGAATTCTTATCTGGCTCAGAGGAGAATTTGGATGTCACCATCCTCACTTTGCATTTGAGGTGAGCACTACGCACACCAGAGAGCTGTTATTTTCCAAGCCTGGAAATATGAGTCCCAGCCACATCGCCAGTTGGAACAGGCATTCCTATCAATCCCTCGAAAGGCCTTATCTTAGATGGCTAAATATAAGTGCTAAAGGTTGCATGGGCAGAAGTTAATACCACTGTAACTGTTGAAATCCTGGGATAAGTACAGAAATAAACTGAGCCTGGGTGCATTTCTGTAGGACTCTAAATTTAATTTACAAGATGTTTTAGGAGACTTTCCCTTGGGAGTCTTACATAATGCTTTGCGATTTAAGGATTTAGTGGTGCATAACAGATATATTACTCACGAAGAGATGAATGTTAATTCATCGCACTTGATGCCTGCTTGGGATGAAGAATTTCAAGTCCAGTATTCTGAATTAAGACTTGCTAAGTCAGCTGAGAAATCAACATAGTGTGAAGAGTTATTGACAAAAAGAGCCAAAGAGAAAAGGGCAATTGTCACAACTATATAATATAATCTCTGGTTTACAGATAAAGATGCATTCTTATAAGTTTCTCCAAGACTCGGGAAATGGCTCATGGGACAAGATTTGGGCAGAGATTCATATGTCAATTAGGCTATTTTCTCTTTAAGAGTGACTCAGTGCAGATCAGTGTACTTTGCAAAACATTACCCCCTACGGGGTTAAATAAGATCTTGAGTACATTTTTAGACTTTGAAAATGTCATAACGAGTGGACAGATTTATTTATGATGTGCAGTGAAGTTATCCTTGTTTTCAGCATTATTGACCAGAAGTTACATACTTCATAGGGACACAGGAAAAAGCTTTGTACTGAGCCAGACGATTTATTCATCTAATCAAGTACTGTCTACACTGGCTGGTAGCATCTCTTCAGGGTTTCAGACAAGGGTGATGTCAGGAATTGAATTTATGACATTTTGCATGCAAAGCCATCATTTTTCCACCAGCCATCTCCCCCCGCCCCCAAATAGATCGTGTAGCACTAAAATCCGATGCAAATATTTTTGTTGTTGTTGTTGTTTAGTCATGTCCGACTCTTTGTGACCCCATGGACCAGAGCAAGCCCAGGGACTCCTGTCTTCCACTGCCTCCCGCAAATATTTTACATTTGAATTATTTGAAAGAAAGCTTTTAAGGGGCTCTTAAAATGTAGTTGTTGCTTTCTTTTGCTTGCAGAAAATGAACCTCCGGTTATTACTGTAAATTGTTTATTGTATAAATGTTCTACCTTGTTTTCTTTCTTTTTTCCCAAATGACAGCTAAATTCATTCACAAAATAGATCTATTTTGTTTTATTTAAGCATTTTTATGTTGCCCAATCATCTGTGTCCTCTGGGCAGTTCATGGATTGAAATCACTAAAATACATCAGCAATACTAAAAAAAACCTTTAAAACCCCATCAAATATATAAAAGCAACGCCAGTGCAAAAATTAACAAAGAGCAGCATAAACCCATTCGACAGTATCAAATCAGTAAACGGCACTAAAAAAAATCAGCACAGGGAAGACAAAATAGTTCTAAGAACTAAAAGCATGGAATTTAAAAAGCCTGGAGGGGAAGAGAAAAATCAATTTAGAACAGTAAAATCAAATTACAGATAATAACAGCAACAAAGGAATGGCATTTGGCAGCAGGAATAAAGAATCACCCAGTTAAAAACAATGCAGCAGCAGTATGAGTATCAAACTGCAACTCATCCCATGACATTGGCCTCCCACTATCCCCCTAGAGAACTTGGCATGTTTGAACCAGGTAGCTTTCCCCATGGCATTCCACAAGATTGGTGCCACAACTTAAAAGACCCTGCTTCTTAAGGGCACCTGCTGGACGTCACTCAGGGAAGGAATCCGAGGCCAAGGCCTCTGATAATGAAGAATATGCTGGGGGAAGAAAAGCCCCAGCAAATACGAATGGTTTGTTAAAGTTCAGGATATCTCTGATGTGGCTAAGCAGACAAATAAAATGCACTGAAGAAATGACTTAGGTGTGTCTATAGAGGAAACTAGCTGTCAGATTATCTGCATTTTTTTCTTCATTGGGTTGGAATGGTGTCGATTTTCTTGCTGTCGCTTCTGGCTTTTTATTTTTAATTGAAAAGAAAAGAAACAGAATTCACGGCTGCCAGAGGGAGGAATTCGATGCCCACCTGAGCACTCTGCCCTTCCCCAAAAGTAGCAGAGTCACAATAAAGCATGCAAAGTAATAAAAATAGCCAAATAAATACACCCCTGTTTCCCTCCTTCTGAATTGTTAAAAAAGGCACCTGTGTGGTGCTGCTGCATCAATTTACATTTCCTAAAGCCCAGGCAGTTGGCTCAGTTTAAAACGCTCTTTGGTTGGTTGATAGATCTAGTTATTTTTCTATTCCACCCTATTTTATGAATAACACATTACATTGGGTGACCAGGGCAATTTTGCTAGTAATGAGATTTTGAATCCTATATATTTATTTTTTGCTTGGCTTTTTAGAATAAGGGGCGTTTTTAATTTAAAAAATAATAATAAAGTAATTTGAGCTGGACATATATTAAAAACATGATAAATGGGATGCCTTGTGCACTCTGCAATTTTCCGGCCTGGGTTACACTTCCTTTGCCTATTCCAATTCTCTTCCCGCTATCTTCAGCTGTCTTCTGCCTTGTTGTTTGATGCCGTCTACGCTGTCGTGAGCGCCGTTCAGGAGCTGAACCGGAGCCAGGAGATCGGCGTCAAGCCCCTGTCCTGTGGATCTGCCCAAATCTGGCAGCATGGCACCAGCCTGATGAACTATCTGAGAATGGTGAGGAAGGATTGAACATAAATGGTTTGGATAGAAGAGGGAGAAAAGTGTTGCCAGGGGATTTAATGCTGAGCAAGACGGGGGTGGGGTGGGGATATTGATTTTAAAATATTTGTTGGTTTGGGGTTGGTTTGGTTTTTTAAAAAAAAATTAAGTATTTTTACAAAAGCACCTCAAGGCAATGTACAACAAATAACACATGCACGAAAACCGGCATAAAACAAAACAGAAAGCTCTGAAACTTATTCACATATTTGAAAGCAGAGTTACAATACAATACAAATACCTGTATTGGCATTTCAAGTTAAGACATTTCAAGTCAGTGAAATGTTGTTGTTGTTGTTTAGTCATGTCCGACTCTTCGTGACCCCATGGACCAGAGCATGCCAGGCACTGCTGTCTTCCACTGCCTCACGCAGTTTGGTCAAACTCATGCTGGTAGCTTCAAGAACACGGTCCAACCATCTCGTCCTCTGTCGTCCCCTTCTCCTTGTGCCCTCAATCTTTCCCAACATCAGGCTCTTTTCCAGGGAGTCTTCTCTTCTCGTGAAGTGGCCAAAGTATTGGAGCCTCAGCTTCACAATCTGTCCTTCCAGTGAGCACTCAGGGCTGATATCCTTAAGAATGGAGAGGTTTGATCTTCTTGCAGCCATGGGACTCTCAAGAGTGTCCTCCAGCACCATAATTCAAAAGCATCAATTCTTCGGCAATCAGCCTTCTTTATGGTCCAGCTCTCACTTCCAAACATGTGAAACTTATTCACATGTTTGAAAGCAGAGTTACAATACAATACAAATACCTTTATTGGCATTTCAAGTTAAGACATTTCAAGTCAGTGAAATAGATAGATTTAAAAGGGAGAGGAGTGAAGCTGTTGAGGGTCACAAGGCATTCAATTGTTCTGCTTCACCCTGTCTATTCCCCTAGAGGGATGAGTCATTAAGAACCCTTTCAGATAGGAAGGAGATTAAAAAGGAAGCCATTGAGGCAGTAATGTCCTTGTCCCTGTCCACTACGAGGAACCTCATTTGGCTTTCAGAGCCGTGAGTCGCAGGTCCGGCATTTTGCTCAGCATCTGTTTGCGGAGTCTGCTGGGCAAAGGGCAGTCCAGGAGAATATGGTCCAGTGAGTCTGGTACTCCTTGATTGCAGGCACACAGATAAGGAATTTGCTAGTATCTACCTGTGGTCACGGGGCGCGGGTGGCGCTGTGGGTTAAACCACAGAGCCTAGGACTTGCCCATCAGAAGGTTGGCGGTTCGAATCCCCATACAGGGTGAGCTCCCATTGCTCGGTCCCTGCTCCTGCCAACCTAGCAGTTTGACCTAGCAGTCAAAAGTGCAAGTAGATAAATAGGTACCACTCTGGCGGGAAGGTAAACGGCATTTTCGTGCGCTGCTCTGGTTCGCCAGAAGCGGCTTAGTCATGCTGGCCACATGACCCAGAAGCTGTACGCTGACTCCCTCAGCCAATAAAGCGAGATGAGTGCCGCAACTCCAGTCGGTCACGACTGGACCTAATGGTCAGGGGTCCCTTTAGCTTTACCTTTACCTGTGGTCACTGCTGATGGGGAAGGCATTTAGTCTTGTGAGCATAAAAGCTCTTTGTTGGGAAGGAAGTAGTAGGTCTTTTAGGTAATTGGCACAACATCTGTGTGAAGTAGTTATGCCTAGGGCCTCCGGAGAACAGGGTTTCGGAGTGTGAGGAGACGAACACTGTTTTTCGTGTTCATAAAGCTACTGCTTGATTGTTTGGAGTACGTAGCTTTCATCACATACTTCGAGTCTCTCCAGAGCAATACCCAAACTACGTATTTTGTTGTCCTAAATTGCTCTAACATCCCTCCCACTGAAGGAGGCCATAGATTAAAAGCCAAAGAGCTGGAGGAAAGGAAATGTTTTATCCTGGTGCCTAAAGATAAGCAATGATGGTGCCAAGTGTGCCTCCCTGGGGAGAGCATTCCACAAGTAGGGAGCCACCACTTAAAAGACTCCTTTCTGAAGTCCCAAAGGGAGCAGGAAAGCCTGGATATGTTCAGCTTGATAGGGTACCAGTTACATAGGCCTTATTCTATGATGATTACCTTTTATTAAATCAATATCTGTTGATGAAAGCAGGTCCTGTGCCAGCTTTCCTGGGTCTCGGATGAGTTTTATTTTATTATTTGTTTGTGTGTTGCATTTCCATGCCACCCTTTACTCCAAAGAGTTCAAGGTTGCATCCATGGTTCTCCTCCTCCTCCTCCTCATTTAATCCCCACAACAGCCCTGTGAGGTAGGCTAGTCTGAGAGACAGTAACTGGCCGAAGGTCACACCCTGTGAGCTTCATGGTTGAGTAGGGATTTGAACCCTGGTCTCCTGGGTCCCAGTCTGACACTCTAACCACTACACTGCACTGGCAGTAATGGTTTCACCTGTCTACATACCTAAGGCCCGTCTGTGATAACAGACAAGTCACTTGCCCTGTGCCATCCCAAGTTCACCCTGGAGTTTTGCATTCTACTGTGGGGAAACCGGCCCTGAATGTGTAAGCTGCAGAAATGCCACTTGATTTTCCAAGGTGGGAAAACTGAAAAGGGTTATTGTCAGTGCATGGGCAGCAATTAGCAGCATGTGGTTTGCTGTGTTTACCATCCCTTAACATGACAGTACTTTGTGTATTTTTGTTAATAATGCACCGTCAGCGTTTCTTTCCCCTAAATCCCAAGCAACACAGTGGAATGTGACACAATTAAGTTCCCCGCCTTCAGCAGCACAACTTCCACCTCTAATCACAGGAGGAAGGGTGTGGTGAGAAAAGAGAATTTAGCAGTTCAGATGGAGTGAAAGACCTCTTGGGATCAGATGCTTGTCCTCGCCAAAAGCTCCCAGCCTTTCTCCCTGACACAATGGCTTTTCCTGTGCAGGAATGTGAGAGAGCATTCTGCCCCAAACTTGCATTATGAATGGCTGCAGTTCCGAGATGTTAGATGAAACATATTTGTTCTCCTTCTGGCTTTAAATGAGAGGGTGGATGTTCCAGAGCAGTATGCTTGAGGATAAAAAAAAATTGTCCATATTTGGCGCTGCAACTCACCCTCTCTTGGACAGGTAGAATTGGAAGGTCTCACCGGCCACATAGAATTCAACAGCAAAGGTCAACGATCAAACTATGCCCTGAAGATCCTTCAGTATACCAGGAATGGCTTCAGACAGGTAAGGAAATGTCTACTCCAATTAGCACTTTGGTTCAAGTTGGTTTGTCCTTCAAAGTCCTGGTGTTGCTTCTGTCATGACGCCCATGAATATGGGATTATTCTCTGCTCTTTTGTTTTAGGTTAGTCGCACCTGTCCCTTAAAGAAAGCTAAATATGTACAGAGGTGGTTGTGAACCCATTGCTGGCAGGGTGTTCTAACGATGGGAGATGATATGAGGCCCTTTTCTGTAGCATCATTCAACTTTGGAATGTGCTCCCAGGAACCATCCACCTGGCTTTTTGCAGAGCTGTTTAAGACTCACTTACTCCAACAAGAATTCTTTGCACCTGAGCAGATGATAATTTGCCCCAATGCTCTTGATAGGGTTGTTTGTGCTGTTTTACAATGCTGCCTTTTATTATTACTTCACTGCAACTTATGGACCAATTTGGAACAATGAGAAAACTGGGAGATTAAGGCCACAGTCCTATAATAATATATGCAGGAGCAAATCCCATTGATTCTAATGGGGTTTATTTCCAAGACAACTTGTTTAGGATTGCAATGTAAAATGCATTTGCAATAAACAGATAAACAAAGGACTTGATATGTTTGTGGAAGTAGTTAGGTTTTGTGCGGGGTAAAAAAAAAACATGGGGGGAAAGGGTGTCTTGGTGGGGAGTGGAGACTAGGTGGATATATGCACAACCAAATTAAAAAGTAAAAAGACTATTAAAAGTGGCTATGGAATGAGTTCATCACTTTTGAATTATGTACTTCTCAGCACACATTCTTGGCCACTATGACTGCATTCATATGGCAGTTTATTCCACTTTCATGATGTTTCCCTAGCTGTTAAGTTCTGCATTATATCTGAGCTTTCACATGACATAAAAGCAACTTCTGGGATTGTAGTGGAATATAATGAAAGCTTAGTGCTCATTTCCATGTTATATGCTTCCAGGAAAAAAACAAAAACATGTTTGCAAATTAGCAGTGTGATGAGCACTAAACTCGTGCTATATTCCACTATAGTGGCTTTAACATCATGTGCCATCTCAAATATAATGTGGAAATTAACAGGGGAACGCCATGAAAATGATAGAAATAGCCCTGCGAATGGAGACGTATATTGTCTAGAGGAACAATAGACTTTACTGCTTATCTGAACATGAGACGAGACTTTATAAAGATCAGATCACATGAATCCTCAGCAAGATCCTATCTTAGAGCTGTGATAGATTTTGCCCCTCTGAAAGCACAGAGCAGTTTTTGGAATTGTAGCAGTTCCAGTGCTTAATCTTTAGGAGCACAGCAGTGCTGTCCAGATGGGCACATAGGAACATTCCTAGAGCAGGGGCGTCTCCTTCGTCCGTGGGGTTAAGTTTGACCATTTTTAGGAAACTCAGAGTCAGAAAGCAAAGGCAAGATTTTCTCAGTTCGTCTGTCTGTCTGTCTCTTGTCTTTTGCTTGGAGTAAAACCTGATAGCCTAGGAAAGACTCCCGGTGGTGGTAAAGCGCTGTGTGTGTGTGTGTGTGTGTGTGTGTGTGTGGAATTAGCAGCATATGACTGCCTGCAGTGCTGATCCATCTTTGTTTCCTTTTCTTCAAGAAGCTCTTTATCCTTCCAGCTTAACAAGCGCTGCTTTTCAGAGAGTGGCTTTTGGGAGGGAATTACAGAATTTGCTCCATTGCGCAAAGTTGTCGGCAGCTTCCGTGATCTTTTAAGCAGAATGTAGGCAAAGTGGCTTGTTCTAGGGAAAACTCTTTTTACTCCCTCCCACCCCAACCTAGGATTGTGCAGCTTAAGATTCCCTCTCTAGGAAATCTCCATACCTGTCAGCTTGCCATAAATTGCAACATATTCACGATCCTCTGTGTTCTCGGGTCCAGGCGCAGTGCAGCCACTGGTGGTGGGGCCAAGGCATGATAAAGCTGCAATAAGCAGAAGACAGTCAGCTGGGATTTAAACAGGCCATGGCAGGGGGCAATAAGTACTGGGGCCATTCCAGGGTGGGCACAACTCTTATAGGCAGAGGAGCACCAACAGCCCATGGTCTTTATCTGGGCTGGAGGAAGATACCACCCAGAAGCCATGGTGGCTGCTCCAATGTGGAAAGAGTGGGCGGCATAATCCATGGGTCATGGCCACAGGCACAGAGGACTTTCTCAGAACTGCTGTGAACTGCCACCTCGATAAGCAGGCTCTTTTGGCATGCATGAAGTGAGGGCCAGGGTGTTAGAATTCCTGCTCCATGATTGCAGTCATGGGATTGTTGTCTGTCACATGACGGTATATGTTTTGACTCCATAGAGTGGGAAGTGATGAAGACAGGATGTTTGTGTTACTGTGTTCTGTGAAGTGGGACTATTGTCCTTTGTTCTTTTTCTCTTTGCTGTCTGATGCTAGAGAGAGAGGGAGCCATGTTGCAGTGCTCCATGTGTGTTTATATGTAAATAAAGTAGATTAGCCAAAATGCTGAGTTGCTGAGGTCTGTCACGCAAACTACGCAGACTCTGCGGATCCCTAAGTGTGCCGGTGTCAGTTGGCATTGGTTGCTGTGATGTTCAGGCTGAAGAAAGCTTATGAAGCTCCCGAACGATCGACCAGGAGGGAGGGAACATGCCAGTCGGGCATGTGTCTCTGCCAGGGCCCTACTCAAGTGTAGGACGAGCTCCTGACACAGGGCCTGTGAAACTTCCTAATGGCCTGACACAGGCCAGAAACTTCCTAATGCAAGGCCCAGAATGAGGAGAAGCTTGCAAACACAGCACCGCCTCTATACCATACTGGTCGGTTTTGGAAAACTGAACCCGCATCCTAGGTGAAGGTTAGGAACAGGATAGAACAGAGTTAACAGATAACATTCCATATCACATCATTAGGAAGAACTTTCTGCTGCTAAAAGCTGTTTGACAGTGGAATGGGCTACCTTGGAAGGTGTTAGAGTCTCCTTCACTTTTCAAACAGAGGTTGGATGACCGCATGTTGGAGATTCTTTAGCTATGATTCCGGCATTGCAGGGGGTTGGACTAGATGACCCTCATGATCCTTTCCAACTCTACAGTTCTATAATTCCTTGAAGCCTTAAGAGTGCTTTCTTTCAGAAATCTCTTTGCAACTTTGTCAGACAACTCAAGAGTCAAAATCTGTTGTTTTCATAGTTCCTTGCTGCCCATTTTGGACAAACCCGATTCACAGCCTCCTCCTGCTGTAGCTGTGAGTTGGCATTCCAAGTGGAAAAAGTTGCCTTTTGCCTTGACAGTCCATTAACTAGCATCCTTTTTAGTAGCCAAGCCACACCAATGCTAAAGGGAGGTTTTCAACAAGGGGGCAGCATGGTTCATAAGAATGCCTTTCAGCCACTTTCTGTTGGCTGCTTTCCCATCTGTTTGGCTTTCCTTCCTTGGCAGCATCTCAGTGCAGCCTATCATTCTCTGTTCAAATGGTAGCCCGGATGCCTTTAGAGCCTATCAAATTATTAATAACAACCTTATAATGCTTTACATATTCAAAGTGCTGAGCAAACATGAGCTCTCTGCCATGCAGTTATGTGTTACTGTGAGTTAAATAATGCAGTTAGCTGATAAATAATAGAGGAACGAGAATAGTGAGGCGAGAAGGAAGGAGGTACTGAGGCAGGGAACAACATTTGCGGCTGAGTTCTTCTAAAATAACACGGAGAAGTCACACAGCACGAACCCAGTGCCTTTGTCTTACTTTATTCTCCTTCTGCCATGTTAGGAACATCCAAGGGAATCTATTTTGCATGCGCCACACCCCCAAACCATGACAGGTGGCTCTAAAAACACAGCCTTCATGGTGATGGTACTCCAGTTGTGGACCTCCTTGCCCACGAAGGTGTGTATGATATGCTCCCTGCTGACCTTCATGCTGTAGATGGATTTTAAAGAAAGGGTTATTGGAATCTTAATCATTTCTTCCTTAACAGAATAAATGGGTCCAAGGAAGAAATGATAAAGACTCCAACTAATAACCCTTTCTTTAAAACCCATCTACAGCATGAAGGTCTGTAAATCTGTTAAAGACTATTAAGACAGTCTTACTATGGAGCAGAACATAAAATGAACAAATATACATGGCAGCGCTATTCTCAGCACATCATCTTAAATGTGGAGTGGATGGGAGAGCTATCCATGGTGCTGAAAGCTGCTGCCTGGTGTCCTGAAGCTGTCTCTTGACAGCTTTGCTGCATGTGCTATTGGGTTGGGAGGGATTTGGCAAATGTCGCCTAGTTGCTTATTTGCACAAACATATGGGTGGCTGCAGACAAGTCTGCACATAGTGCGCTCCCTCCAGGCCATGACTAGCCAATTGTGTGCATCTGCAGTGTCATGTGTTGGGTTTGGCTTTAAGCGCACATTAAGGACACAGGAAGGGCCCCACTGAACAAAGCTATAAATAATATTAATGATTGATTGATTGATTGAATTTATATTCCACCCTATCTCCTCAAGGAGCCCAGGGCAGCAAACTGATATAAAATTTAAAAACAAAAAGCAAAGAAAAACATTCCAGGACAGCTTAAAAAAAATTCTAAAAACAATTTACAATTGAAAACATTTCAAAGCAGTTGCAGATGAAAACATTCTAAAAGCAATTCCAATTTAAAATATACTACCATCCATGGATCTTCAGCCACCAAACAGGGATGTTTGAAAATTCCTCCTGGAAGTTAATAATGATGGGGACAGCCATTCTGCAGCTGGGGAGCCACCACTGAAAAGGCCTTGTCATGGATCAGTGCCAACCAGGCAACACCACCAGTTTAGTCCAAAACCCTTTCCCCCACAGGATTAAAACAATTCGGGGAGACATACTGGACTAGCAAATGAACCTGTGGCAGAGCTAGAGAATTGGAACCATGTCCAAACCAACACCCTATGATCTGGTTCAGAACACCTCTCCAGACATCTGCTGGGGGTGTGCGTGTCAAATGGTTTAATGGTTTCCAACCAAGAACCTCCTACTCATTGAAAACCTGCATATCAGGGAC